TCAATCTGATTTCGGTGTTGACCGTCTGGTGAGGTCCATGTGTAAAGCCGTCTTTTAGGTTGTTGGAAGAGGAAGTGGTAGCCAATAGTGAAAGGATCAAGGCAGAGACATCTCCCGCTCATCCCCTGTTTGGGTATCAGCCAGCACATCAAAGGCTTAAATCCAGACATAGTTTTCTAAGATCTACAGAGACAGTGGCTGGAACACCTCCGCAAGCGAGAGTCCAAAAGTGGCAGGCTCAAACCCAGAACCTCAACCAATGGCTGATATCAAATGAGAGACTCCCCCCTGGGCACACAGAGGACTGGGCGACTTGGAAGGCGCTGAACAGACTGCGTTCTGGCACCACAACCTTCAGCAATGGGGCTACAAAGTGGAATCCTCAACATGTGAGTGTGGAGAGGAGCAAACCACTGACCACCTGCTGCAATGCACCCTGAGCCCTGCCACATGCACAATGGAGGACCTTCTTGTAGCAACACCAGAGGAGCTCCAAGTGACCAGATACTGGTCAAAGGACATTTAATCCACTACCAAACTCACACATTTTGTATTTTCTCTGTTAGTTTGCTTTGTTCTGTTAGAAATGTAATATAACTGACTGGCTGGCCTGACACGAGAAATAAATAAATAAGCATGGTCCCTCCCTCTCTTCCTTTTCAGACCCAGGGGTCTGTTCCATGGAGAGAGGCTGATTAAGCAGTTGAACCCCTCTCTTAAACGGGGCAGACTATTGATGCGCCTCAGTGGAACAGGCTACGAAGGGCAGTGCAGAGTCTCCCACTGCTCCTCACCAGATATCCTTGGGCCACCCAAAGCTGGAGCTTCCATATTCCCTGTCCTGTAGATGGGCAAGAGGGGTTTCCTTTCCATTGTCTGTTGGGACAGGCAGATACAACAACTTGGAGGGCCTGATATTTTCAAGTAAGGGAATACACTCAAAGAGTTGGGCATGTTTAGCCTGCAGAAGAGAAGGAGGGGAGACCTGATGAGGGCCATGGATCAAGATGGGAGGGGAAGTCCTAGGGAGGAGGGAGCAGGCTTGTTTTCTGCTGCCATGGAGACTAGGACTCAACAGAACAATGGCTTCAAATGACATGAAAGGAAGGAGATTCCACCTGAACATGAGGAAGAACTTCCTCACTGTGAGAGAGAGCTGTTCAGCGGTGGAACTCTCCCTGTCTGCCCTGAAGTGTGGTGGAGGCTCCTTCTTTGGAGGCTTTGAAAGAGGTTGGATGGTCATCTGTCAGGGATGCTTTGAAGGCGATTTCCCTTCTTCTTGGCAGATTGGGGTTGGACTGGATGGCCCACCAGGTCTCTTCCAATACTAGGCCAAAACTAACAAAATGAAGTTCGACAGTGACAAATGCAAGATACTCCACTTAGGCAGAAAAAACGAAATGCAAAGATACAGAATGGGGGACAATGCCTGGCTCGAGAGCAGGACGTGTGAAAAAGATCTTGGAGTCCTCGTGGACAACAAGTTAAACATGAGCCAGGAATGTGATGTGGCGGCAAAAAAGCCAATGGGATTTTGGCCTGCATCAAGAGGAGCATAGTGTCTAGATCAGGGGTCCTCAAACTAAGGCCCGGGGGCCGAATACGGCCCTCCAAGGTCATTTATCCTCGCTTAGGGTCAACCTAAGTCTGTAACAACTTAGAATCATAGAATCAAAGAGTTGGAAGAGACCTCCTGGGCCATCCAGCCCAACCCCATTCTGCCAAGAAGCAGGAATATTGCATTCAAATCACCCCTGACAGATGGCCATCCAGCCCGTTTAAAAGCTTCCAAAGAAGGAGCCTCCCCCACACTCCCTCCGGGGCAGAGAGTTCCACTGAAAGTACACAACAACTTGAAAGTACACAACAACAAAAACAACAACAGTCCTATTTCATCAGCCAAAAACAGGCCCACACTTCCCGTTGAAATACTAATAAATTTATATTTGTTAAAATTGTTCTTCATTTTAATTATTGTATTGTTTTTAAGTAGATTTTGCACTACAAATAAAACATATGCTCTGTGCATAGGAATTCATTCATGTATTTTCGAATTATAATCCGGCCCTCCAACAGTTTGAGGGACTGT